CTCTTTCAAAACTGAAAAATTCTCTTTCAGGCTGAAATTTTCCATGCTTGGTTACAACCTAAAAACAATCTTTTTGGGGGATTAAAATCCTTTATTTTTTTTATCATTTTTCGGTATTGGATACCAAAAGTAAACTTTCTTAGCATGTTGAGGTTTGTTGTTATTAGAGGAGGGAAGTTTTGTTTTTTGAATGATTCAAACTGCTGACCAGGCTCCCCATGCCTAAACTTAGGAGGTATCTGTAAAACGGGTTACAACCTAAAAACAATCTTTTTGGGGGATTAAAATCCTTTATTTTTTTTATCATTTTTCGGTATTGGATACCAAAAGTAAACTTTCTTAGCATGTTGAGGTTTGTTGTTATTAGAGGAGGGAAGTTTTGTTTTTTGAATGATTCAAACTGCTGACCAGGCTCCCCATGCCTAAACTTAGGAGGTATCTGTAAAACGGCCAGCCAAAACCCATGCAGCTCTCCCTTCTTCTGAACTTACGGTCATACAAAGTTCTGACATAGTACAATCTGTGAAAAAGTGCTTCTATTGACAATAAAAAGGTGTTGTAATAGTAGCATTAAGGTGCCATTTCTCAGTTTTTGTGTTTCTATATGGAACCATAACACCGCATTAACATAGATTTTTTTCCCCTCCCATTTATGAGATATATGCAATTTATTAGACTCTCCATGTTCTAGAGGAGACTGTGATCACATTATATGGGGGGGAAACCTATAAACAGAATATACAAGAGCTACACAGACTTGAAAACATTTCCAAACATGCAAGCTCAGAATACATTTTGCCATCTCAACAAAACATATAGCACATTCCTTTTTGCTCTGGATGAGGGTAAAAAAGATTTTGACTTCAGAGCTATTTAAATAAAGTACTCTTCTAATATCACAGTCCACTGAGCTCCATATCCTCTTCTTGCATTGATTTCTGAAGTTCCACATTTACTCCTCATTTAGTTTGTTCTAATGGGCAATAGGAATAGTATTTACAGCCTAGAAATGCTTCCCACTGCTCCTATCCTTGAAAAGCCATTCTCTGCACTTGTATTCCTGGTCTCATATGCTCTATTAGATTTAAGAAGTAGCTCACATGTAATGTATTGTATCTGGGTCTTTAATGGAAGAGAAAAAAAGCTCTTCTTTTCAATATTAGAACAATACCGTACTTACAAAATGTTTCCTTAATTCTTGCTTTTAGATCTTACATTCTAGTATAGTGTGCCCTTTACTACTTATTCTAAACATCGGCTGAATGCTCCCTAAATATAAATGGATGTGGTTTCAGACTTTTTAGAGATTGGGTGGAGGTCTGGAAAAAATGTAACTTACATGTAAGAAGAATTTTTTAAGATATGTGGTTCCAATCTGCATAGAGAATCTCTTTGAGAAGTTATTGTTTCTACTTTCAGACCTCCCACAAATAATACAACAATGTAGGTGATCTTCTAAAGGATTTTGTCATTTGTAGATAGAATACTAAGGCTTGATAGACTTCCCAAAATGATGTTTCCTTCCCTCACTGGTAAGTGCATGGTCTGAATAAATGGTAGTCTCATGCGATATTGGATATAAATTTAGGGTATGATCTTGGACATTTTATTTTTATGGATCAGTGTGACGGGGCTGGCCTGCCCCGCACTGAACAGGGGGGCGGAGAGCCTGCCTATTGGGTGGAATATGCCCCTCCCCAACAGCCCTGCTGGGCATGCTCACAGTGCCACCCCAGTATAAAAGGCAGTATAAAAGGCTGCTGGGCTGCTCAGTTGGGGTTGGCCTCTGGGGAGGGAGGAGCTCCTGCCCAACCTCCAGAGCCACAGCTGGACCTGCCACCAGAGCAAGAGCTGGGACCGCTGCGGTTGCTGCTACCATCCTTGAGTCGAGCGCGCCCGCAATGCTGACCCCGGGGGGGCTGCCCGCCCTGCCGCGGTAGACAACTCCTTCACAGCTGCCCCAGACGCCGGACCTGCCAACATCATGGCTGCCGCCAGCCCAGCGTCTGCAGGTGGGGTCTCCACCGGCCACAGGGCGGGAGTAGGAAGCAACCCAGGACAAGGGGCAGGGAATCCCCTCGTGGGCTCGGTGCGTTTCGGGGAGAACTCCCCGCCAAGCCAGTGGTGGGAACCACTCACCACTAATAGGGCCTTGGGTTGGGGTCCGGCAGAGAGGGAGGGCCCGGACCCTCCTACCCCATCCACCCAGAGCGTGGACTAGGCTGCTGGGCCTGCATTTTTGCTGGACTAGGCCTCAGGGCCTGATTTGACCTTGGACTAGGCCACTGTGGCCTGCATTGAAAGAGACCAGGCCTAGGGGAGAAGAAGGTGGGGCTGGGGAGCCCACCACAACCAGCCATATGGGTTCCATTTCCCCTACTCTTCTGGCTGAGGTGATAGCAACCAGAAAGGATTCCTTCATTGATAGGCCAGCTAAGAAACATGAGATTAAGGGTTCAAAATGATTTTTTTGTTAATGCTGATAAGACTAGCTTGAGATCTCATACTAGGGTAGATTTCACTGTCAGAGGAAAGTCTCTGACAAAACAGTTTAGAAAACTTACTGTAACAGGTTCACTGAAGATTAAATAGTTGACCATCACAGAGTGAGAGACACTGATAGCCCCTAACTGGACCCACTAGAGCTAATTCCTCCATCTAGTCACTTTGAAGCAAACATCAAGAAATAAAGGCTACATATGTGTCAATAAACATAAAAATCCAAAATGTTTTTCAATCACTGATTTTATTATGAACACAGCCTGCATGAGTTATCCATTTACATACATGAAACCTCCATGCAATGTTCTGGGTGCTGTACAAAACCAATAATTACTCAGGTGAGTCTTGTAGCATATCACTGCTAAGGGATAGTTCTGAAGTCTTTGAGGAGAGAAAGTATTCCCACATGGCATGGGTGCTGGCATCTTTGGGTATGTCTACACTACCCTCCTAGTTCGAACTAGGAGGGTAATGTATGCATACCGCACTTGCTAATGAAGCCCGGGATTTGAATTTCCCGGGCTTCATTAGCATAAGCGGGGAGCCGCCATTTTTAAATCCCCGCTGCTTCGAACCCCGTGTAGCGCGGCTACACGGGGTTCGAAGCAGCGGGGATTTAAAAATGGCGGCTCCCCGCTTATGCTAATGAAGCCCGGGAAATTCAAATCCCGGGCTTCATTAGCAAGTGCGGTATGCATACATTACCCTCCTAGTTCGAACTAGGAGGGTAATGTATGCATACCGCACTTGCTAATGAAGCCCGGGATTTGAATTTCCCGGGCTTCATTAGCATAAGCGGGGAGCCGCCATTTTTAAATCCCCGCTGCTTCGAACCCCGTGTAGCGCGGCTACACGGGGTTCGAAGCAGCGGGGATTTAAAAATGGCGGCTCCCCGCTTATGCTAATGAAGCCCGGGAAATTCAAATCCCGGGCTTCATTAGCAAGTGAGGTATGCATACATTACCCCGCTAGTTCGAACTAGCGGGGTAGTGTAGACATACCCTTTGGGAGTAATCTGATGATGTTTGCACCAGATCGATTTTTTTTTCTATTTTGCTCTGGTATTACTACAAACTACACTGAACTGATTATAAATCTGTTTCAGACAATTAATTACAACCATTTACAGGTAATTACAGATAGACTTAGAAGAACCATACTAACATTGCAGACATTGAAGAGTTTCCATCTCAGATCAAGGGTACCAGAAAGAAACTGGAGAAGTAATTGGACTACACTCTCAGTTTGGAGCAAGAGAAGAAAAAGTGTTTAGGCGCAGAACATCTTCTCAAGTATATGAAGTGCCTGCATGCCCACAGTGAAATACACATTAGGAGCATCTCTCAAAGAAGACTATATGCTTTTTTATTTAAACAAGCTACATCTAGGCTTTGATACATCTACCGAAAAATATACTGGTCCTGAGGCTATTTGAATGGAGCAGTGACACAAATGAGAAGCAAAGCCCATATAAACTTTTGTTACTTGTTAAAGCTGAGTAGATTAAAAGAGTGATATGACTTTAAATGTAATGCAGTCTTGACATTGTGTCTCATCTACCAAAGAAACCACCTTCATGGT